TTCTCTTAATGGAATAGGTATGTTTCTAGGAGTTTTTAACTCCATCGGTACCACATTTTGTTTCAGTTTAAGTTGAGCTCCTTTCTTCATCTTACCAATCCCATTAAATAAACTTGGATATTTATTCTTGATCTTCTGTAGGTCTGTGTTGATATTCTGGTTGCTACAATATTCACTTGACTGAATGTCATTTTTAACTCCTCTGATGACCCTTAAGAACCCTAGGGCTGAGATGCATGGTTTCCCAATCAATGCTTCCTCTTGACCATTGATCACATATATTGTTTGACGAGTTGTTTTATTCTTATACTGAATTACACCTTCAAATTTACCTAAAACTGTTAAATACTTCCCCCCAGGTGTTTTTAAAACAATGTTTGATTTAGTCAATAATTTGTTTCTAGCCATTCTTGGAGGCACAATCGTCACGTCGGCTCCACTGTCAATCTTTAAATGTTCCAATTTCCCATCAAGTTTTAGGCCTACATCAATTTCAAATTCATTCTGTTTATTGTAGTTCCTTGTTGTCGCTCTTATTTTCTTAACTTCAGCTCTGTTAATGTAATACCCGTCCTCGCTTCTATTATCCTGTTCCAATCTGTTCTCGGTATTTTCCTGAATTTGATTCAGGGTTGGGTTTCTGTATTTATTGTTCTGATTTCTGTATTTATTATTCTGTCTCTTTTTACAACATCGGCTGAAGTGTCCTTGCAATCCACAGTAGTAGCATTCAATATTCTGAGCAGGACATTCCTCCTTAGGATGCCTCTGTCCTCCACAGTAAAAACAATTAGAAGTATATTGTCTTATGTTTTGTTTCAAGTTCGGATGTTTTTTCACTTGGTCTATTTCTGCAAAATCTTGTTCTCTTGATCTGTTAACAGTAATTTGTTGGTTCTTTATAATTTCACTTTGTTTCAATCTATTTATTGTTTCATGCAAGGTTAGGTCAGCCATCAGTTGAAGTTCCTTAGATAACTTTGAATCTGTTATTCCAACAATGAGTTTATCCCTAATAAGGCTGTCTTTCATGTCTTTGTAATCACATGAAGAAGCTAATTGATGTACATCTGTTATAAAATCGGATATCGGTTCATTTTGCTTTTGTACTCGTTGATTGAATTTCGCTCTCTCATAGGTCAAATTCACCCTTGGTGTAAAATACTTATTAAGTTTTTCCATCACTTTATCATAAGTCTTTTCATCTTCTTCTGTTACTCCTGCTGCTATTAATACATTTTCTGCATTATCACCCATGGATATTATAAGGAAATTTACTTGCTTTTCTCCATCTATTTGATCTAAATTGGTAGCATTTCTGTACCTATTGAACTTTTTTAACCATGGGCCCCAATCTTCTGGTTTAAAGGAGTATTTATCAATGAAGCCCAATGTTGCTGAATGTTGTGTCATTTTAGATGTTTGTCTTCTTACTGTTATATCTGAGTTTTCTGAGTCTGACATTGTAATGCAGCATATATATTAGACACCCTGTTACTCAATTTATTGGGTCTTTACCGCTGCCACCATGTTGTGCCCTTAAATATATTAAATTAAAACCCATTTTGTTAGAGCCACTTCTTTCATTGTATTTATTAACAAAAACCAAAACTTAAAGTAATCATGAAACAATAATATATCAAACCAGATGACAAGCAAATAAACAAACTATTAATGTAGACCTCAGGACAATATGCCAAATGTGAGTGAACCAAACTAAAATATATTACTTTTAAAGTGGCTAAATCACAAAATTTAGATAATCTTCTAAGGACATAAATTCCTGAATTCATTTTGCCTTTAACTTTGTTAATATGTTTATTCTAGTTTAAATTGCAATCCACAATTAAACCCAAAAATGTTGCATCCGTTACTTCTGAAATTGTGTTGTCATTTAATTTTATTTCTGTTGAAACCCCATTTTGGTTCTTATTTGTATTAAAATTTATAAAGTTTGTTTTATTAAAATTTATCTGTAAGTTTAGATTTGTCAAAAATGAAACTATGTTATTTAACTCTTCTTCTGCAGATCTTTTAATATGTTCATCGGTTGGTCCTGCAACTTTCAAATTTGAATCATCAGCATACAGAACTACTTTGTTGGCATTCTGATTAACCAATATATCATTAATTCCATTTATGTATATAATGAATAATAATGGGCCTAATATTGACCCCTGTGGGACTCCAAATTTTATGCACTGTGTTTTTTAATTTATTTTTGTTTGTTTTCTGCCAGTTGTAGAAGCTATTTCAACAAACTGTTGCCTATCGGTTAGATATGATCTGAACCAATCAAGTGCTTTGCCTTTAATACCAAACTGTGTCAAAATTTTAACCATGGTACCATGACAGACTCTATCAAATGCCTTTTGTAGGTCCATAAATAGTTCAATACATTTTTCACCCCTATCAATGGCATCAATAATGGACTCAATAAATTGAACAGTTGCTGTTTTGGTCGACTTTCCAGCCCTAAATCCATGTTGGTTGCCATTAATTAAGCAGTTGCTTTCGAGAAAGTACATTAATCTAGTATAGACAGATTTTTCGTAAATTTTTGAAATTGTGGGTAAAATTGACAATGGCCTGTAATTTGACGGATTTTTTTGGACAATCTCTTTTGTGTATAGGAATAACTTTTGCAATTTTAAGTTTTGATGGAAATATACCTGACACAAAAGATGAGTTTATTAAGTGAACTAAGACCTTAACAATAGCTTTATCAACATGTTTAATCACTTTAATAATCACTTCATTATAATCACTAGCATGTTTGTTTTTTAGATTTTGAATAATGGTTAGTATTTCTTTTTCATCAACTGGTGTTAAATGGAAAGAATTTTTGATATTATTCCTATCTCTTTGACTACAATTTTCATTGGCAGAACCAAAACTATTGCCCGTTAAAGATTCCTTTGTAATATTAATGAAATAATCATTAAAAGTATTAGCTACTTGTAAAGGATCAGTAACAGTGGTATTATTTTTTTCTAAATGAATGTTTTTTGTATTCAACTTATATGAGCCGGTTTCCTGATGAATTATTTGCCAAACATCTTTACTAATATTTTTTTGATCTTAGGATTTTCTGCTTGTAGTAATTTCTTTTGTTATTAATGACATTTTTATGGTAGGTTATGTTTTTTTGTTTAATGATTTTACCTAGCAATTTATTTTTGTTAGTTATTGATCTCATATACTCATATACTCTTATTAGTTATTGATCTCATTTTGTCATTAGTGATGAGTAGTTGATCAGGGAGCTGGGATAGTGATGGAGTATGGACAGGGACATATTTCCAAATAGGCGGACTAGGCGCCCGCCTAGTGCAAAATTTTGAGGGTAAAAAAATAAAATAAAAGAGGTTTTAATCTAAAAAAATTTTTAGCAAATAATTCTGGGAACGGCAAAACAGCCATTTCAAATATTTTGATTAAGTATAAAACAATTTCAGAACGCATTAAAGTCAAACAAACGTCAATAGTTTATTACACAGCTTGTCCTTGCTGCCCTATTGGTCTGGCGGACACGCTCGCCGGGGGAGCGGGTCCCCGTGCCGGCCGCTATGTAGTGACAAACGAAGAAAACACTCCCCTTTGTTTACTTCATACACCACTACGCAGCGGCAGCGCTAGCTGCAAGTGTCTTTTGCTAGGTTAAAATCAAGAAGGAAAGTGTGAACAAAATACTTACTATGTACCAAACTTAACTAGTTTAAAATTGTATATTCTTTCTGTAAAAGTACGTAATTTTTTTTGCGATTCATGTGTTTTTTGTAAATTAAGAAATAATATAAGTAAACATATTTCTTTCATTTCAAATCAAAGCCAATAGCACGTCTCTCAAGTGGATCTGACTAAAAGTGTTCAATGAAAAACGTTATAAGAACCATTGTATACAGACAATTTGTGTGCCGTTTCAAGCCGCAAAATGGGATTGTAAATGCTGTTTAGATAAAAAAAAGTTGCATTCCATGTAGGCCTATCCCAGTCAGAATGTTTTGCATAAAAACGGTGCAAAAAACGTCCGTTAAAAGGGGTCGAAATGAAACAGTATATTTCGTACCTAGGGCCGAAAATGAGGTTTCGCCGGCTCGAGATAGTTTTTAAGTTCGAGACAAAGTCAACTTAAAACGACCAAGAGCTGCAAAACCATTTCGGTCCGTGGTACAAACGCTATTTTTCACCACACTATATCTTATTAGCACTATTCAGTATTCACCACAATAATGATGCACACTGATCTGCAACACAACTACAACTTTAAGGTTATGTGAAGAAATAATTTGAGGAATCAGTAAAAATTCAAATAAATAATTGCTAGGCAGCGGTGACAATAAAACAATTCTATTGCAATGCTATGGATACTGATTGTGTATTTAATATGCATTCATGTTTTAAGAAAGTAAGCGATCAGCTGATTTTGCGGCCCTAGTAATAATTTAGCGTAAGAACCTGCTCGGTCCCCAAATGACGATGACAGTTGGCATGGCCGGCAAAACGCAACTTTCAGCCACCAATTAACGCATGTAAAACAGCTAAAAACATCATAGTGTGGTGAAAAAGTTATTAAATTTATTGATGCAGCATGCAATATTACCGATTATTTTTCTACAAAATCAGCTGACAGGGCATGTATTGGCCATTGGGGTGATATTAGTGAGGTCAGGGTGTGCGCTGAAAAGTGGGTGGGGGAGCGGGGAGGGGTGGCGGCAAACTTTGTTGCCTAGAGGCGGCTGATACCTAAAAACGTCCCTGAGTATGGAGCTTCAGTACCTGAGATCCCGGGTTCAAATCTTGCCAATCATGAATTACCTTGTAAAGATTATTCTAACTTTTACCTAAAAGCGAAAGTAAGCCTCAAAAACCAGACCAAGTTTCACTACTAGTAAAACTATTGTTGCAGAACTAGAATGTTGATGTAATTCAAAGTTTAAGATGAGGTCTGATGAACATTAAACTCTCCTATTAGTAAATAAATAAGTTTTTATTCTCGTTTTAAATATTACAATTACATTTCTTACCCTACAGTTAACGCTACAACATGACGAACCTAGTTATCTATATCTTTGGATTCTGCATATAAAAAGACAACAAAATCTGTGGTGTACAGTTCAGTTTTGTAGTCTTTGCTGAATGAAGACGCCTTGACTGTTAATCTGGAAGAAAAGAACATTTTTTAACCTCATATTTATGAAACATTCAATCTATTATATAAATATTATTATTAAAACAAACATTAATTTGTGGTTGTTACTAAATTTTTTAGGTGGAACAAAACTAATACATTCAAATAGATTTGTGTTCATAAATATACAACTATGGCATAGTATACATTCGTGATGATATTCTTGATATACATGTTTTGCAGTTGTGCTGTCAATAAATTTATATATTTATTAGGGATGGACGAGATTAGATTTTTAGTTCAAGACGAGGTGAGACATGATTTTTTATCTCTCATAAAATTTTGAGACGGGATTTCCTTTCTCATACATAACGGGAAATGCATGTTCGACATTTTTACCTGATTTTGTAACATTGGCAGATGACCGTTTAAATTAAAAAATAATAATACTAGGCAAGAATATTTAAAATTTTTTATTAATAAACATCAGTATAAAAAAATGTATATTAATTATGCCTAACTTATTAATAATAACACTTACACTTAGGAAACATGGTGTAATCAGATAGGATATAGTTAAAATTATCCTAAAATAAAATAAATCATAAAATAAAAGCAGCATACACTTAACAAAACATGTCAAATGATAAAACAATTAAAGTAATATTTACATGTAAGGAATTAGTTAAATAAGAACGCCTTCGCAAAGGAAATGCAACTACAACACGCTCTTGTATTGCGAGTATTGCATTGACTTTCTGCAGGCGTTTTTTTTAAAATCTCGTCTTTAAAAAAATTTGATAAAGAAATTCTTGTCTTGTTGGAACGAGATCAAAAATTTCGAGACTTGTCTCTCCCTAATTTCAAACAAATATATCATTACCTTAGGGATGGACGAGATTGGATTTTTAGTGCGAGACGAGACGAGACGAGATTTTTTATTTCTCATAAAATTTCGAGACGAGATCGAGACGGGATTTCCCTTCTCATACACAACGGGAAATGCACGTTCAAAATTTTTACCTGATTTTGTAACATTGTTAGATGACTGTTTAAATACAAAAATAATGATAATAGGCAAGAATATTTACAATCTTTTATTAAAAAACATCAGCATAACATTTTTTTATTAATCACGCCTAACTTATTAAAAATGCCTACGATTAGAAAACATAGTGATATCAGTTAGGATAGAGTTCAACTTATCCTAAAATAAAATAAATCATAAAATAAAAGCAATATTAATTTTTATAAAATAGTTACTTGTTTGACTTTTTATAGTACGGTACAGTAATAAAACATTCCTCACACTGCTTACACTTAACAAAACTTCTCAAATGTTATTAAAGTAATATTAAAATAATTAAAGTAATATTTACATTTAAAGAATTAATTAAATAAGAACGCCTTCGCAAAGGAAACGCAACTACAACACGCTCCTGTATTGCGGGTATTGCATTGACTTTCTGCAGGCGTTTTTTATTTTTTTTATTTTTTTTTATTCTCGTCTCGATAAAAATCTCGGCCAAAAAGAAATCTCGTCTCGTGTAACGAGATTTAAAATTTCCCGAAAATTTCCCGAAATTTCGAGACTTGACCATCCCTACATTACCTTTAAGTAGTATGGTTTGTAGGCTAATGATTTTAATCAAGTTTAAAATTAACTATAACTTGTCTTATACCTGTAAATGCCGCTTATGTCAAAGTACTTCATCACGTAGAGTATCCCTTGCCCATCTTCAATCCTAATCCGCAAAGGTACATCTGAAAGCAAAAAGAGAATAACACCTTGCCTTAGAGTATGTTTAAAAAGTTCTAACTTTCTCAACAGATCTATTAAAAAGTAACTGGTAAATGGTAACCTTGTATTGGCACAAAAAAATCAAAGTTAGACGCAAACTATGAAAACAATCAGCTGGTCAGTCAATCTGGTTGGTAAAATACAATTTCAATGGATTGTTGACATTACATTTACTAATGCACCTTTAATTTTCTATGTTGTGTACAGTTTATGTGAAACCAAGCCTCGCTTATCCTTATATTATGGAAAATTATAACTTTTCAAACGTAACAACTGCTGGATTAGTTTTGTTTGGATCATGATATTTGATGTATATATAGAATGTGTGGCTCTACCCTTTTTATACTAGTTTTCAAAATCCAAAGCAAAAAAAGAACCCAAAATATTTTTCTAGCCTCAATAAATAAGAGATAAGCTGTAAGCGAGATGCATTTGCATTGATGCTAATCCCTGGGACATAATAACAGAACACAGATTATTTTAAGAATCGTAGAGATTTTCTTAGTCAACCACGTCGTTGTCAGAATTAACAGGCCTTATGCCCTAACGTTGAATATAGTACTCAGTAATCAATATCTAGGCTGGGACTGAAAAAGCATTCACTAAGGACGCCTTTTCTCAGTAAAGGCAAAATTACTTATATAAATCTCCAACGGATGACATGGTTGACACAGAAAATCACTACCTACTAAAATACTAGCCACAAAAACCTACAAATGAAGATAAAACTATTTTAAACAGAACCAAAAACAGTTTGTAGAAGTGTGACTAAACAGAGCCTTTCTATTGTATATTTCTCCCTTACACTGATACGATACCTTGTTCGTTATCAGTTATGTCAAACACGCTGTGCGTCAAAAGCTCGTCGTGCAGCCCTAGCGGTTGCAGTATAGCCAGCTCTTGGTACGGCTGAAGCATTGCGCTTGAGAGGGTGAGCGGAATGTAGCGGACAAACTCCGCTACCACGGCGTTCCCAGCGCAGCCTCCCCTCCACTCCTCACATACCCTGATGCACGACCTGTCACAACATGTTGAGAGTGTGTTACAGTCGAATTTCATTATCTCTAAACTCACAATACCACAATTTGTCTTTGAATTGTGGAGCTCCTCAGTAGACGCCCTCTGGTTTGCATCCGTTTGGTCTTGTTTTGGATGACGATTTACTTTTGACTATGGATACACCTAGACATTCCAAAAATGAGGTTAAATTAGTAACTTAGTTTGCTGCTACAGGGAAGTTAATAAAGGGTGTTTTTATTAAAATGTCAATAGATTAGCAAGTATGAAATGAGAAAAAAATTTATAAACTTTATCAAAATATATCCATAAAAAAGCAAACAACAACAGTTTATTTATTCTCAATAAAAATAACATGGGGATTCCTCCCCTACTATTTAGTGTACAACACTATGTACTAAATTATTTGCTTTTGTTAACCCACCCATCCCTGCATGGGTTAAGCTCTACGAAATGGTTTGGAAATTGCAAAGTTTTATATTTCGAGGGTTACATAAAACCCCGTCCCCGATCACACTAGTTCACAAACTGGTTTGATTAAACGTAGGTTTTTACATTTGTACAAGATTTTATCAATTATAGTCTAACATACTAACAGACATATTTTATATACAAATTTGAACGGAAGGGCCTCGGAATTTTTTGGCCTCTGGGGGCTTAAAACAAAAAAGCAAATCGGTCTTGGGACTAGGTCTTACACGAGACCTACGTTAATAGCTTATTCCCTATCATAGAAATAAGAAGTTAAGAAATCTCACCTAGTAAAGTGGTCCCAGTACGAGTCAGGACAGGGAGTTTTGAGGCAGTGAAAGCTACCAGGAGTGTTCATACAGGTCTCCTCTTCCTTGCAAGCGTCATCTCGGATACATTCATCTACATCTGAAATGTATAAGTTTAAACATTTTATCATGAGTATATTTTTGAAGTTCTGACAAGCGTGATGCTGAAACTACCAAATGTTAGGAGCGAATGTTAAGTTACCAAGGCAGTAGTTCCAACTATTAAGTTAGACGTTTTAGGCAACTTAAATAGTAAAAAAAAATCCTTTAAGTTGAAAATTGAGAAATTTTTTTTACTAGTGAATCTACAGTTATGGTTGAAATTATCACATTTTTGATTGGCAGGACTTGAACTTGAACCTTCCCAAACCAAAGTCCTGTGATAACCACAATTCTGGCCTTGTTCCACCAAATTTTGTTATTTATTAATATTACAAAACTAAGACCTCTTACATTCTTGGAACTAGGATTATATTCAATTTTAAATTACCTTTAGACTACATTCAGTGTTAATGAACATTGTTAAATTTTAAAATTTTTCTGTGATTGTGAAAAGCTGTAAGATAAGTAAGTATAGCCTACTCACCAACACAATCATCATTTCTCCACACAAGCCCGGGTTTGCAGCTAACTGAGGTTTCTACCGGAGCTTCCAGGAACTGATAATTACTGTCCATGTCTTCCTCTACGTAGTCATCGTCTGGCTCTTCCATGTCCAGCTCTCCCCAAGCTGAAATATTAGTAAACAATTTTTACTGGAGAAAATAATTTTTTTAACTGCCTTGACAAGCTACAGTAGAATCCCTCTTATCCGGACTTCTCGGGGCTGAGGCCAGTCCGGATAACGGGTTTTCCAGTTAAACCGACGTCCCCAAAAACTCTGTTTACTGTGATATTCTGCTTAAATTTAGGAGAACATTGTATTTAGACATGTGATCACTGGTCTTAAATCTTTCCCACGAGAACAGTCTTTTCAGTACTGCAAACTTCCTACCGATCTTGTCTGTTTAAACCAATGTGCTGATAAAAATTGTCCGGTTAAAGAGATGTAATTTCCGCCGAGTGTAGTCCGGTTAAACCGATGTCCGGTTAAAAGGTGCCCGGATAAGAGGGAGTCTGCTGTAGTTTGCTCGAATTTCAAATCTACATCACAAATATTTTTAGAAAATTTGTTAGTTAAAGAAAAATTGAACTCAAACATTTTATGACTAGATTTTGAATAACATAATCATTTGGCTGAAAAGCTAAGCAGGTGTGTCTGAGGAAGTCATTTATACGACATCCTCTCAGTTTATTTGAAGTCCAGTTATTCAATGTCAGTTTACAGCCTACTGTTTGCTCCTAATTACCTTTACATGTGAGCCCAGAATGGCTGAGTGCCAACTGAGGAGGACACGAGCAGTAGAAACTTCCTCGAGTGTTGTGGCACATGTGAGAGCAGGGTTTGCCTTCCAGACACTCGTTTATGTCTGCAATCACACACTATATGAATCATACAGCTAGAGTTTCAATAGCATTTGTGTATTAAGAAAGCAAAGTACGTCATTGCCGTTTGAGAACTGTAGATGTTCTGCCATTGCGACAGCGTCAATGACTGTCTGTGCTCACAAAACACACAAGATTTTTCCTACCACCATAATAAACTCAATATAGCACATAGAGATTAACTTTTTGGTTAAGTATATAAAAATGAAATTAAGGTTATATGTTTGATTTTTTAGGTTATGTTTTGCTTACTAAATGTTAGTGTTTTATAGAAACGCCATCAATGAAATTGGCTGATTTAGTGATTTAACAAGTGGGAATGGTGTTAGGGGAAAGATATGGGTAAAAAGAGAAAATCAGTTTTAGAAACAATCAATACTTCAAAAGGCCAAAGTATTTTTGTAAACAACATTTCTCAGATACCAATCAATGAATTGCAATAAGATTCAAAAACAGTTTCTTTGTAGGTTGTAGATGTGCTATTATTAAGTAATGCTTATAGATAAAGATAAACATTCTATTTTCTGCTGGTAAAAAAAAGAAGTAGTAAATAACTCACCGACACATTTTGCTCTGTTTGGTGATAGTCTAAAACCGGACTGACAAACACATTGGTAAGAACCAAACTGGTTTTCACACACTTGGTTGGAATGGCAGGTTTTCTTAATTTCCTTACATTCGTCAATATCTAGAAAAAAGAGTAAGATTAAGTCAAAGTCAAGGCTGAAGAGTAGAACAATAAATATTGAGTTTATATAAATAAAGAAAGAAGAATGCCAACATTGTTTGTTGCTGACTTATGAAACCTATACTGAGTGCAAAATCATCAAATGGATCTTGGTAAAGTTGAGGCTCTATGAAAAGGCAAAATCCACTTTCATATCAAAGAATAGTTACAAACAGCATTTGTGTATTTAGGAACAAATAATGAAAAATCCTTCTTTATTGAGGCGTACTTAGGACCTCATGATCCTTTCTTACAGTTAACCTCTAAAAACTAACAATAATAATAAAGCATTAACAAAATAAAACAACAAAGATAACAATAAAGAAATATGTGTCAGGCCTAATGAACGCCACGGACATCCGGTCAGGGTAATATTCTTTCAGCGCCACCGTCAGTCGGGATCGGTTTTCTAAAGATTTAATGGGATAAGGTACAGAGTATAAATAGAGGCAATTCAAAGTATATATTGGAATAAAAAAGAAGTTCCAAAGACTCAGTAAAGTAGTAAAATTTACTAACCAGTGCAATGGTGGTACTGGGGGTCCAGCTTAAAGCCCACAGGGCAATTGTTGTTACGATACTTTTTAGACATTTCAGACGATACCTCAAAATCAAATTGATCATTTTCTGGATTGTATTTACTTGCCACTTCATCTGTAGACAATCTTTCTACTAAGTACCTGAAAAATGTCAATTAATTTTGATTTGTATCTACTGTTGGCATGATTATTTTAACTGATGGTTAAACAATGCTTAATTGGAGTTGCAATCAAATTTCTACAAGTACACAAGACGCTCTGGGATTTAAATTTTAAAAGGGATTTATTTTGAATTTTGATACTAGGAGGTATCAAAATCTTTAATAGAGTTAGCTGAAAAAATGAAAAATTATGGCTAGCACAGCCATAGTTGGTGGTGGATAGCACGGTGGTTAAATTTAAATTGTTAACTTCAAAAAAATTTAGGTTGCAGGTTTCATCCTGATTAAGGATTAATTTTGAAACTAATTTGTCATTGAGCTTTAAATAACCATGATTCTTTTTAACAACAGATTAATGTTGCATAGTTATTAAAAACAAAATGTAATACTGTAGTTATTTGTGCAACTAGTGAGCAAAGGGAGCAATTGACTCACTCGAGAGAAATACTTACGAGGAATGGTTTCTCGAGTGAGGCAATTGCAGTTTGGACTCGAGTTGCACATTATATTTTCCTACAGTTACCATAAAACAAATAAATTGGTAAAGAAACGTGACATATTTTTACACAGAAGTGAACTTTTAATATGACATTTTTAATGATACAACAGTACAACAGCTGACCAGCTGATTTACAGCCAGTGCTTCCAACGTATTTCGTGTGCATACGACCTTGTCTGCATGTTACACGCTCACTATTTCTGCCTTCACGTTGCAAATCTGGAGTGAGTGAGACAAAGTAATTATAGTGAGACAATGTGACAACATTGTCTCACTGATGAGCCGATTGGCCACTTTGCTTTCTCAAATCAGTGAGAGAACATGTACATTGTTAGGTAACTCTAGGAAAAATCATTTCTTAAGGTTAACATACACAGTACAATTTCCAAACCTATTTTTAACCCACAAGTTTGAAACAGATTTTTTTCAGTGAGTTGCGTACTGTGTGTGAGCATTGTTTTGATTTTTTATCCCATATAGCTCACTAAAAATATAGAGTGGAAACTAATACTGGTACGCTGTAAAATTATGACCATTCTTAATCCCTTTATAACTAATGTTAAACTTTAATCCTGGAAAGACAGCTTATCTCTGACAAAGAACACTCACGGTACAGTATCTCTTGAAGCATCAAACAGAACGGTTCTGTTCCAATGGAACGGAACCTTTTCTCCGTCAACGTCCAAAGCACTACTGGCCGCAGTGTACACAGCGTTGAGAGCTGTCTTCACATAGTCCTCTACAAACACACCAACATTAAACTACTTGCTTATCTAAGGAATCTCAATACAAATTTTACAAGTTTAAATAAAATATAAAAGTCTTAAATCCATCTACAGTAGACCCCCTATTAACCGACCCCAACGGGACTGGACCTAGGTTGGACAACTCAAAAGATTGGTTAAAATGGGTAATCACTAAACATTAAAAAAAGGTGCTATAATCATTTGAAGTTATGTGTATATTTTTTACAAAACAAACTACAGTACAATCGTTTCGTTTTTTCTTAAGTGTTGACAATAGAAAATCAGAAGTAAACCCAAAACACGGTTTGTCCAATAATTTCAGTGGAAACAACATCCTGTGGAGTTTATCGTGTTGTTCCCATTGTCCAGGGTGGGAGCGGAAATTCATAGAATGCGGCGGTTATACCAAACTGCTCTCAAAACACAGTCGGTTACAACAAACTGTAATATTTTACGAGCGAGGGCGTAAAATTATCGGTTAATGGTCGGTTTAGAGGGAGTCTACTGTACATAAATAAAATAACAGTTTTGTCTGTACATTGCGTAGAATCATGAAGTTTTTTGTTATTTTTACGATTTTACGCGGTGATTTAAAGACACTTTTTCAACTTTTACCTGAGTAAGGATCCACCATCACGGAGGATGTAGGCTGTAACAGTGGAACCTCCCCCACCACCTCGATGTCCACCTTGAGGGCTCCCTTCTTATCGACACCTTTGCCAATGTGCTTAACCATCAACTCCTGGCCTGTTGGACAAAGGTTTACGAGTTAGAATCTTGCTAAAGTTATACTTTTTGTTGTAACAAGTTTTACAGGAATTTTGGATGTTGACCTTCTTATAAAAAGTTGGAGTTGATTAACTAAAATAAGAAACCAGGCAACATTGGAAATACAACAATTCCAGGAAACCCACGTCCCAACCAGTCCAAACTCCATACACTGTCAGTCTTATGGTTCAAGATGTGCTGGAAACGAGCCGCCCACGCTCTCAACCTGTGCCGCAGGGCCTCGTGTGTAACAACGTCCGTGCAGTGACTCTTTGTGTATAAACTTTTGTATATTAGGATAGGAACTTTTGTATAGTAGGATGTAAATTACAACATAGAAAAGAGACCTCTGAAGATGCCCCTTGTGCCGAAAAGTGCATAAGAAAAATACTGTAACACTTCAAGAACTCAAGGCAACTAAATATAAAACAAAAAAAATTACTAAAATCAAATGTTTATTGTGTTGCTCGGCTTTAAGAACTAACTATATTGATCAACGATTACCAAGTTCTTAAGTTACTTATTATGCTCTTATCGTATTTGCATTGTACTTTCCCTCTTTTAAAGTGAGCTCATCCCTTGCATTGACAGATAAATTCTATATTCAGTTGCCCCTGGAAATGGTAAATACAACAAGCCTTTTAAGCAACCACAATCTACAAAATAAATATTTAATAAAATACCTGTGGCAAACTGAAACCTAGACTCTTCAGTGAAGTTGCCACTGTTGAAGGCTTGGCCATGGGGTTTACCTCTTCCCGATGCTGGATTCCATGAGAGAGGTGGCATCAAAAACGTCAGGTAAGGAAACCAACTAGCCTGAAATGGAATGTAATAGTCTAATAGGGTTAAAGTATTTTAAAAGCAATATGACCAAATAACTAACAGCAATATAATCATGGAATGAAAAAAATTAATTAGAAATAAGTTGCACCCCTTTAATGGACAATTTGATTTGATCAAATTGCTAAAAATAAAAGATTAGTGAGACAGAGCATTAGTATGTTTTAAAAATCACACTAATTTGTGTGGATTTAGCTAAAAAAACAAACAAAAAACATTACTGCTATTTATGGGATAAAATAATATTTAAAAAAAAGTTTTCATTAAAATTTTATTTTTAGATTAAGAAAAACAGGTAATTCCAAATATTATGTTGTTTCTCTAAATATTTCATACTTCTTGAAGCTAACAACTAACTATACAAAAGACAAATTCAACTTTAACAATGAAAATGGAAAGATTTTAGCTCTGAGAATCATACATAACTGAAATTAATAAACAAAATATAGGCATTTGTATCCTTACTTTATTTCTAAAACAGGTTTTAATAAAGACTTTAACTACCACATATTGTGGAATATTTCAATAGAACTTTAAGTTTGTAGCTTAAAATAGGAGAATGGATTTAGTCATAGTCTTACCTGAGCTTTGAGAATGTCTTTCACAGTTGCCGTCACTCTCCGTTTGGGCCCATCCTGTTGAATTTGAGCGTCCAAGTACATGTCCTCCACTCGCCGACCGTTCACTTCCCCCCTGATACGGAGGGAAGCAGACTTTTGAGCCGCAGTTTTACCTACATCCAACGGAGCCTCACACTCTTCCATCACACACTTCTCTATCTGGAAACCAGATGTTATGTCTTCTCTAAGACTGTTAATAATTCATTTATACCTACTTTTACTATCATATGTTTTTCTATTGTTTTTTGTTTTGTAAACATTCATGAATTAGATTTTGTGTTGAGTTAATATGCGTGCATTTATTAATTATTTTGTAATTAATAAGAGTCATTTTAATTGGCGACGAGTGTGAAAATCAACTAGCCACTGAAAAATTCAACACATTTACTTTTCAAAATTACTTTCAATTTCTAGTTTCAAGATACATTAATATTTTATACAGTTCAAACTATAATGGATGCACAAAGTTTACCTTCCTTCTAAACACATTCAATGAACAACAAAAAGCACTTGTACGTGAGATGTCAAACATGTTTCAAGCTCAAATTCAAATGATTGTTACATCAATTGGAAAACCTAGAGAAGAAAGCTGTCAATCTACTATGTCAAATGTTGCTACATTCAAAAACTTCAATGCCAAACAAGAAAAGTTTACCAGCTATTTAGAACGTTTCGAAAACTATTATACAATGAAAGGTTTGACTGATAAGAAGAAAATTGCTCAGCTCTTGTGTAATTCTATAGGTAGTGAACATTATAACAACCTATCTGCATTTTTGGGCCCAGACAAGCCACTCAAATCATTAGATTATGAAACTCTGTTGAATGACTTCAAGAAACTATTGATTCCAAAGAAAAGTGTTGTTGTTGCTCAACATTATTTCTTAAATATCTTTCAAAAAGAAAACCAGTCAATTTCAGAGTTTGTGGCTGACCTCAGACGTGATCTTCAAGAATGTGAATTTGCAGTTGAATGTTCCAACGATGAATGTGGAACATCTGTGTCAATTGCTGATGTTTTCTTCCGGGCACAGTTCATACAAGGATTGAAGGACAATTGGCTTAGGGAACACCTTTTACAATCCGTTTACACAAAGTTTGATGACATTCTAGAGAAAGCTATTGCCCTTGAAGCATCAAAGGTTGAAAGCAAGGAATTTCACCAACATGCATGTTCTAACAACTTTAATATGGATTCGGCTGGAGTGCACAAAATTACAAGGTCTTCCAGACGATCCCACCAGTTCTCTAACAATCGCACATCCAACAAGACATCTCTCAACTGGAAACAACGTTCAAATGACAAAAGACCTGACTTCAATGCTCTCGGAATAGAAAGCCTCTGTCTTAGATGTGGAAGTAACAAACACATTGCTGCAAATTGTAACAGACACAAGTATAAACTCCAATGTGGAGAGTGTTTAAAACGAGGACATGTCTCTGCGGTCTGCATAACTACACTGATGTCAAGGACTAAGAAATCAACATCAAGGTTAAATTCAACCAACAACCTACATTCAGGATCAAATGATGACGATTATTCTAGTGACGACTCTTCTGATTACGGAGTGCACAAAATTGATTCGATCTACCAGAACTTTGATGTCGTAGATTTATTTGAAGTTGGATATGATTCAGACAAGGACATTGTTTCTGTCACTATAAATGGAAGATTACAATGTTTTGAAGTTGACAGTGGGGCTAAATTTTCTCTCCTTGCGAAGAATGACTTTGAACGTCTACATCTGAACGTACCTGTAGAACCATCAAGACTAGCTTTCCGTTCTTACTCTGGAGACATAATCAAACCAGAGGGAAAGGTATCAGTTTCTGTATCATACAAGGGTAAACAGTTCAAAGGTGACCTTCACATCGTCCCTTCAGGTCATGATGCACTTCTAGGGCGCCAATGGATCCGAGGACTGGGTATTGAACTGTGTGAAATTGACGCTGAAATGAACCGACCAGCTACTACCCTTCAATTACAACCAGTAAATTCAGTTGAGTTTGAAAAATTTGCGCCAATTTTCGAGCCAAAAATTGGATGCGTTCCAAACTTTACAGTATCATTACATCTTTGATCAGGAGCAAAGCCTATTTTCAATCGTGAACGGAACGTACCTCATGCTCTTATTGATCAGGTCAACAAGGAACTAGATTTACTTTAACCCTTACCGCTCGTATGTCGCGGTGGCCGCGACATCCATTTTTGACGCTTCCACTTGAATGTCGCGGCTGCCGCGACATTGTTTTAAACGACTCTAAACTCACTTTATATAGTGCAGAAATGTTTAAAATGATAAGAAAGACTGATCAATGGTTTTCTCAATTTATTTTAGCTGCCCTTGGATCAAAGAAAACAACCATGAACGATTTAGTTGGCTTTGAAATAAGTTTGGTCGCCGTGGAAACCAAAAATTCCAAAAACTCAAATTTTAGAAATTTACATACCTATTTTATTCATAATAATACAAGTAAATGTTTATGTAATTGATATTTTTTGTTTGTATTTACATAAGGAATGTAGGCCTAAATAATATTTTTTCAATACTTTTTTTATATTTTTATTTTGCCTAAATATATGGGTGAATTTCAAATTGTGGGAAAAATTTAGTCCCACCAATTTTTCAACCATTTTTGATTTTATAAAAATAAAAATTAAATTTGTCATACATAGCATATAATAACAGCTACCATATAAATGCATAAAATATAAACAAAAATGATTTTAATAATATGAAAAATATTCCCAAAGAGTGTTTTAAACAGATCGCTAACGGTCCCGAAGTGCAACATGGCTGATTGAAGATTGCAAATATATAAAATAAATACAAAAATAAAATGTAATAACAACTTTAAGATAACCGTTGAATATGGATCTTTTAATTCATCAGGTTATTTTAAAGCAAACGAAAATATGAAACAGCATTTTTTAATTACATTTGAATGTCCCGCTATCTCAATTTAAATTTCCCGCACTTTTTAAACTTGCCGCCATTACTCACTCTGCGTCTCACAAGAAGCACCCTCTTCACCAGTGATTGCAGTTTGTTTAGTGAAGTGAAATCGTATGCTATTCTTTCAGTTAATCTTCGTGTTTACCAGTTTATCATCAAAAATCAAGGTAAGTTCTACTCAGTATGTTAATTAAGCAACAGATCGCTAACGTGCATAACTTTTAACTTTTCAGATGAACATTAACGAAAACGCCGTAATGTAAGAATACGTAGTGAACAACATAACCTCAAAGTTTGTTTTCCCGCCACAATGCTCGTATTAAGGCGCTAGTTACTAGAACAACTAAATTTCACAGATCGCTAACGAACAGCTCGCTAACGTTTTCAATCTGTTTAACTGTCGCTAACGTTAGCGATCTGTCCGATAACGTTAGCGATCTGTCTGCTGATGTTAGCGATCTGTCTACTATTGTTAACGAGCTGTATAATTGTTACAAGAATGACGTTATGTTTTAGTAAGTTTACGTTTTAACAGTATTGCACAATGTTTACATTAAATCTCTCTTAGCCTAAATATTTCTCAAGTTTATTTTTATCCCTTCAATTAGTTTATATCATGGTCGTACTATGCTATCATGCAGCTAAGGACGTGATCGTGACCCTTTTCTTCACGTAGCGATACATTGTTATTTAAAAATATTTCAGATTTTGTACCATATTATTTTACATGGAATTCGAAGTCTATTAAATTAGGTATCAAAAGTAGTCTTTCGGTGTTTTTTGAAATTTTTTCAACTGATTATGAAATTTTGCGTCTCTTCATTGTTGGTACCAATTATGGTGTCACAGTGGTGGTTCATGCCGTTTTTAGTTAACATTATCATGCTAACATAACAAAGCAAGTACACTTTTCTAATCTGTGAATTAATTAAAAACAACTTAATGTAATGACACTGTTTGGATGGTTAAATATTTCAAAATGATTTATTGTTTTCACCGTATTTCCCAATTTTTTATTAATGCTGGAATGATATCAGGTAAGTTTAAACAAGTGAGTATTGCGATTTTGTATCTTGTTTTCAGACTTGCTGGTAAAGTTTGCAGCAATGGCGAAGAAGGTGAACAATAAACATATTCAGAATTCGGAAAAATATGAGCGACAAAAGAAATTAGCAGCAGAGAGACAGCGTCGGTTCAAGGCCAAAATGACCGAAGAGCAGCTAGAAAAGAAGAGAAAAAGAGACAGAGATAGACTAAAACGGTTGAAAGAAGAAAAGAAAATTAAACCGATAAAAGAAATGAAGCCGTCTGAGCAAAAGAAAATAAGAAAGCAATGGCAAAAGTATTGTACGACGTACAGGAAGAAACAAAGAGCTTTGAAAAATGTCTTAAATCAAACCCCTCCATCTTCTGCGAATGAGGAAGAGAATCCCGAAATAGTAGTTTCAAGACAGAAAGAAAAAGGGCGAAAACAGGTTCGTCGAGATAGAGCTAAGGCATATAGGACAATAAACAAGCAGGCGGATGAAATTAAAAAGTTGAAACGGAAAGTAGAAAAATTCAAAAAACGACTGCAAAGAGAGATCAAAAATAAAACTAATTCACCGGGTTCGCCATCTCCGAACAAGAAAGTTAAAGAATTGATTGGAACCGAACGTGTTTCGCCTAAAGTTAAAAAACAACTTTATGTTGGATTCACATTGCAAAAGCAACTGAAAAACCAGATAGCAGGGGTCAATCCTAGAGCGAAAGAAAGACAGATTATGACTAAAGTAATAGGCACAAAAATCTTGAAACGGTATAGAGTCCAGACATATTTGAAAAACATTGTTTCTTATAAACACAATCAACGAGCAAAGAAAGAGGTTTATGGTCAAACAGTTGATATAACTTACACAAGAAAGCAGCATGAGACTGTACGAGTTAAAGAGGCATTGACGTTAAGGCGATTTTTTGAAGATGACCTAGTTTCAAAGATGTGCCCCGGTAAAAAAGACTTCGTACGAAATGGGAAAAACAAGAAACAACGCCGTATTTTGCTAGACAACATGAAGAACTTGTATACAAAATTCTGTAAAGAAAATCCAAACATTAAGATAGGATATACTACGTTTGTAAGATCTCGTCCGTTTTGGGTGACTCGCCCCAAAGCTAGAGACAGAGAAACATGTGCCTGCGTCATCCATGAAAATTTTGAATTCC